CATCTCCCACGAAAAGAAATTAAAAAAAACATATTTTCTTTATATACATTGTAGTATATGGTGTGCAAGTGTGCAACGGTAAATACTTGATAGCGTTATTTGCAGTTATGTTTTGATATTTGCGCTTTCCACTTGTTTCAGAACGGTGCACCAAAATTAATGTGGACGTGCTGACCAAGAAGGACGGCAATGGGGATTTAATTTCTGTTTGGTGTCGACAGAACTCAAAAGACAGTGATGGCCTCTGCGTACTCTGCAATGTGACTGTGTACTGTTCGCAACATGGTACCCCAGCAATAATGCGCCGCTGGTTCTCAGAAACACACTCGAAATGCTAAGAAAAAGCGAAATGCAGAAGGGGTCCTCACCAAGGACTTCATGGTCCAGGGCACCCTGGATTTTCAGAAGAATGCGGCATCACTGTCATTGCGAGAGAATGTCACAAGAAAAGAAACACTTTTTGCTCTCTCCATGGTTGCAAATTCTCTTCCATACACTTGGGCGGGTGTGGCAACCTTAACGTACCCTCACATGTTCCCCGATTCGCAAATCGCAAAAGGCTTCCAATGTGGTCGCAAGAAGATTTCATACATCATTTCTGATTGCCTGGGACCGTACTTCAAGGAAAAGGTGGTTCGAGAGCTTGTTCAACCAGAGGTGTTCTATAGCATCATGATCGACGAGATCCCAGTGCCTGAGGCCAAGGTGCAGCAGTTGGATGTACTTGCTCGCTACTACTGTGTCAACACACAGAATGTAGTTGTGGAGCACCTGCAGTAATTTCATTTGGGACATGCTACTGCAGATGAACTGTTTTGCTGTGTTGAAGATGCTCTTAATGAGCTTCCAAAGAAGAACATGGTATGTTTCTTCAGTGACGGCCCCCACGTGATGAGGAGCTTAAAACGCAAACTGAAAGCGGAGCTCAGCCCTGACATGATTCACATTGGAGATTGTAGTCTTCATAAGGTCCATCATGCTTTCTCTGCTGGCTTGGATTCTTTCTGTAGCGAGTTAGAACCGTTTGTAACTGATGTCCACCACTACTTCAAGTATGCAACAAGGCATGCAGACATGAAGGAACTGCAGTGTAAACTCGAATTGCCACAGCTTGAGTTCTGGCGTCATCTGAATAGCAGGTGGCTGACGCTACTTCCCAGCATTGAGCGTGTGCTTAAATTATATGACGCATTGAAGACTTTTTTTCCGAAGTCGGGGGTGCCGAGAACATCATCATCGGCAAGGCACAGTCGTCTGGCATCTACGTTCACCGACAGCACACTGCGAGCAAAGTTGCTCTTTGTACAAAATGCCGCACAGATCTTCGAAAAGTTCCAGACGCTTTTCCAAAGCAAGGAGCCTCTTCTGCGCATCTTTTACGATGAGATGGTGGCACTAGTCAAGCAGGTGCTTGAAAGATTTCTTCACCAGGAGTATTTGTTGACTTGACTGGCTTGCAGTTGACAGGCCTTGATGTCAAATCGTCTGTCCATTAGAAGGCAAAGCCGGAGGTTGGCTTGGACACCGAAATAGAAATGGAGGCGTGGACGCCAGCTCAAAAGAAGGCATTCTACACCAGAGCAAGGGCTTTCTACATAGCATGTACAAAGTTCCTAATATCTAGGTTGCCGCTACACAACAAGGTGTTCCATTTAAGGTTTTTAAAGCCTAATGCTGGAGAGTTTGCCAGAAGGTCGCTGCGATATATCGCGAATGCTCTGCCACAAGTTATCCCCCCAACAAAGTGGCCGCACTCACATGATGAGTGGAACTCTCTCGTTTGTGAAACTTGTGACTGGGAGCTGTCTCCCAATGTGGTCACTCATTGGAGTGACGTGTTTGCACTAAAGACGCCAACTTGTGATTTTAAGTATCCAATGTTCGGAAAGCTTGTGAAGGCTTTTTTTGCACTCCCTCACGGCAACGCTGATTGCGAAAGAGGGTTCAGTGAGAACAAACATGCAGTCGAAAATCGAAGCTCATTGTTTCTATAACGAGCATCTCAAGCCTTTGTCAAACAAAGACACATGAAAAGATACAGCGAACATCCCACCAAGGTGCCACTTACTAAAGAGCTTTTTAGAGGTGTGGAAAATTTGTACAGGAGATATCGGCAACGAATAGACAAAGAAGCATCACGATCCCTCAAGCGGAGACATGACGAAGCCTCAGGTGAAGTCTCTGAAACGAAGAAACTCACAAATGAGAAGTCCGGGCTCCAGTGCCGCCTGTCCTCTCTTAAAGCACTTCTACTGAGTGCACAAGAACTCATAAGCAAGGGTGTGGCAGTTAAGGACACCTCCTGCTAAGTGATGTGAACTCTAAACTGTCCAAAGTACTCGAGCGCATAAAAGAAATTGACTCTACTCTTCAAACTGTGAAAAAAGGTGAACTTCAGTCGTTTCTAATGTACACAGATTCTCCTTAGTCACAACCCTTTTTTTTAACATGTAAGCCTGTGGGCTCTTCTAGTCAGTGTTTATGCTGCATATGTATTAGTGGCTGTGATATTTTAGAGCGCAGCTGTTAGGGCTCATTCACACTGGAAGCGGATCCGCGTTTGCAAAGCGGTTGCGAACGCGGTTGTATAAGGATTCAGTACAATTGCACGCGCACACGATGACATCAAATGCGCGTGCAATTGCACTGGATCTTTATACAACCGCTTTCGCAACCGCTTCGCGAACGCGGATCCGCTTCCAGTGTGAATGGGGGGTTAGGGGCCCGTTTTCGGCTTGAGCGGCGTCGGCGTCGGCGTCGGCGTCGGCGTCGGCGTAACCGCGCGGTGCATCATGGGAAATGTCCCATAATGCACCGCGCGAGCCCCCCACCGGGGTCACGTGACCTCGTGGGGGGCACGTGACCCCCCCCGAGGTCACGTGACCCCGGTGCGTCATGGGAAATGTCTCATAATGCACCGCGCGAGCCCCCCCCCGAAGTCACGTGACTCCCCTGAGGTCACGTGACCCCCGCCGATGTCGCGTGACCCCCCAATGACGTCATCGTCACTGATGACGTCACCGGCATCCACATCGTCATCGTCATCATCACTGATGACGTCATCATCACTGATGACGTCACCGGCATCCACATCGTCATCGTCATCAGTACTGATGACGTACCGGCATCCATATCGTCATCCTCATCATCACTGATGACGTCACCGGCATCCGCATCGTCATCGTCATCATCACTGATGACGTTACCGACATCCGCATCGTCATCGTCATCATCACTGATGACGTCATCAGTGACGTCACTGATGTCGTCACCGGCATCCACATCGTCATCGTCATCGTCACTGATGACGTCACCGGTATCCGCATCGTCATCATCACTGATGACGTCACCGGCATCCGCATCGTCATCGTCATCATCGCTGATGAAGTTACCGACATCCGCATCGTCATCGTAATCATCACTGATGACGTCATCAGCGACGTCACTGATGACGTCACCGACATTCGCATCGTCATCGTCATCATCACTGGTGAAGTCATCAGTGACGTCACTAATGACGTCATCGGTACCCGCATCGTCATCGTCACTGATGACGTCATCAGTGACGTCAGTGATGACATCATCGGCATTGGGGGTCACGTGACCCCCAAGGTCACGTGACCCCCCCTGGTTAGTTTAACCCCCCCCAGTGCCCTTCCCTCCTCCTCCTCAAGAGCTGCGCTCTAATTCGGCGTTACAGGGAGTTGTAAGCAGCTTTCACTTTTTTTAAGACAATATATTTTTCCATCTAAAGTAATATAGATATTTCATTTCATTTCATTTTATTGGCCATTTTGAAGTGGGGTGGCAGGGACAAAAGGTACTCAATAGCACCTGACCAAGGTCCCGAGCCCCAATAATATATCTTTGTATGTTATCTTGGGTGTAGGGATTACTGTATTTTATGAAGAGGGATTAAGAACATTTGTATTTAATGAAAACAGGTCAGCAAGGACTGCTTTATTTTGAAACATGTTGTGGTACCTTAATTTTTTTTATGGAGGCACGCAATGCACAACATTTTATGGAGTACATAAGGTTGCGTTGCTCTTCTAGTCGATGCTTAAAGCTGCATATGTACGAGTGACTGTGGTATTCTAAAGATATAAAATAAACATTTTATTTTACATCCGAATTTTTCTCAAATGTCACTAGCCTTGTATTTTGTTACTAAACTTGATATAGGGCTTTTTAAGCAGTGATTGAACATGTGTATTCTTTATTAAACAAAAACTGTAGTCGGCGAAGGTAGTTTATCTGACACCTTGCAGTGGTTGAGTTTTCTGGATACATGTTTACAATCGGTCTATTAAATAGACGGTTTTGTACTGGCGTGGCTCAAGCTGTGCTTTTATTGTCGGGGCCTCCCATATAAAGTCTATCATGACTCTGCCTGCCGCCGGAGTGGTTCTCAAAGCCTTTCCTTTGCATAAATCGCCAATATTACACATTTCAATGTAATAGAAATAAAAAGGTATGTATGTATGTTGCTTGAAAATTATTCTGGAATGTGCATGCATATATTTTTGCTACATTTTTACATTTAGCAAAAGCAAATCACTTTTAGACACCTGTTTGACCTCCGTGACCTGCTCCGAAACCTACTTCTACTGCTACAAAACTTAATTTTGCTGCTCCCGAGCTGCTCTACAGCGAGCCTTTTACTGCTCCAAAACTGCTCCAAAGTGAGAGTTTTGCTGCTCCCAGCCCTGCTACAAAAGGCTCTAGCCCGCTTCCACCCCTAATATATATATATATATATATATATATATATATATATGTGTGTGTGTGTGTGTGTGTGTGTGTGTGTGTGTGTGTGTGTGTGTGTGTGTGTGTGTTTCAATAATGTCAAGCGCCGTGTATACAACCGCACAAAAAGAGCTAATAGGAAGCATTGAAGAGTTCAAGTACGAAACGTCATGCTATCTGTTACACGAAATGAACAATCTGAACAATCAAAATCCTGATTTTATTGACAATTTGGTGGGTTTTGATTTCTCTCAGAAGATTTTCTTGCCCCCCGTCAGTTCAAAGCATTGCTTCGTCTTTGTCCTGAAAATGGAAATCCACTTGGTCAGTACGGAAGTGTAACACCTCTCCAAAAAGAGGGGAGATCGGGTAAAACGTGCCTTCGAGGTTTACTTCTATAAAACAGGTGTTTTCTAGCGATCATCAAAGAAAACGTCAAGTTAAACTTAGGCAGTTTGATCACTTGGCCCCACGTTCCAGCGGATAAAGTCAAGCATCAGAGTGTCTGCCGTATGGTGGCGCCCGTCACGTCTCCTGCGGGAGCGATGGTTGCTGCCCACAATACTCTGTGGCCGAGATTTGAGACCGCACCGTTACTCTGCTCCTCAGGTGCAGCATTTACAGTTACTCTACCGTCTTCCTTTCCAAAAACAACAACAACAAACAAACAAAAAACAGAACAACTAAGTTTTCTTTGTGGCCGCGCTTAGACGGAGGATTGTACCAGTATAAAAAACAATCAGATAATTTCTTCACTCAATAAACCAGAACAGTTGGTTTCAAGCGTTCTAATTAAGAACGGTTTACGTACGCCTGGTGATTTTAGTTTGTTTAGAATGTTTTTTTAACTGCCTAGATTTTATGCCAATTCCAGAAATTTAAAGAATAATATCAGCAAAAATAAAATGTATTGCTTCACAAAAAATATTTTCTTAAAGTTTGAAGGATTCTTCAATTAAATTTTTTTTTCGTACATATCCCAGACAAAAAAAATATATATATATATATCGCATCTTCTTTTGCATGCGTGTTTTGAGGGTGCAATCTGAGCAGTTAGGCTTTCTTCAAAATTAAAAAAAAAAGAATGCTTGTATGGCGGAAAATTAAAAATTCGAATAATGTGCGGATGGTATAACTAAAAGCAAGGACACTATAATCTATACAGTTTTCTGAAAAACGACATTTTACCGGACAATCTTTTAAGCTGTTAGTTACACTAGCATCAATCTACTGCGAATATTAGAAACAATATATCGACTTTTCCGCACCATAAACCGCTGTCATTTTATTAATATTATAATTACTTCCGTTCCTTTATTTGAAACAAACTTGCATGCATTTATTTTTCTATAAGCATGGACCTTAAACGCCGACGTACATTTCTCGCTTTCCGCTTTTGCCCGCTTCCTCTTATATCCTCTCCACTATTTACCTTGCGCCAACTTGGCTCCCCTCGCAGCTTAAAAGAAAGAAAGAACTAAGAGGAGTACCTTTTTCGCAGAAAGCCGAGGTTGTACGTCGGTCTTTAACCGCGGAAACTTGCCACGGTATTATATTTCTCGTTCGAATCGTTGACAAGTATATTCAAACTTGCTTTCGATTACACATATACTGCCATTATGATACACACATGCGGGCTTTTCCGTACAGTTTCGCCGCGCCGGCCGTATAAATATATAAAGCGGTCCGAATTATACGCCTGTTCGACTTGTATACCGGAAAAAAAGACGGTACAGAAGTATGAGCGAAGTTGTCTTACATCAGACATCCTCTCGCCTGGTCTTGAACGCAATGCGAGAAATAGTGCGGTGGTTGGCCGGAGCCCATAACAGATCCGAAGTCCTTCTTTTCGCAACGGAGATTTTTATTGCCCGGTGTGTAATACTCAGGAGGACTTCCTTCGTGAGACATTCCGAGCCTGAAACGGTAGTTACGTATTTTTGTTTTTAGACGTACAGAAAAAGATAAAGACATCGCATTATCAAGGCGCATTCACTCTGTGTGATTGATTCAGCCAGTGACGTCAAACGCACAAAGACGACGAGCACCGTGACCATGCACTTTTGGCGCCGGTTGATTGGCTCCATCAGATACTATGTGGAGCGCAAGTTTGTCCGCGTCTTGAACTGGAGTCGAGGTGACGTCACAACGATGCCGAGTTCTGATTGGTTCTTGATTGGAAGGATAGTGGGTCGACCTCAACACTAGATTCCTCAAGGGCTACCCACTGATTTGTTTTTCGATCAGCCAATTAGAGCTCGGTTTTCTGACATCATCGCAACCCCTTTGTCAAAAAACAGACGAAATTGCGCTTCGCAGTGTCGGTTGCGTACGGATTTAGAGTAAAACGGAGTAAAAATGGAACAAAAAAACTTTCCTTAGAACCACATTCTCCGCAAATACCTCAAGATTACGTTGAAGTATCAAGCTATCAGAAAAGGAAAGACCCTAAAACACCAGTAAGCACTGAAACGGGAAGGGGGGGCAATTTATGTAGCTGTCTTAACTTTTGTCGTTGATCGACGAGAAAGAATCATTGGGTGGTTATCAGTTTGCACTCCGATCAAATGATCATGTAGTGGTAGAAGAAATTAGAGTTAGGTGTTTATGATATGATGATTTACACAGGAAAACCTCACGGAAAACGCAGGTTTTCGTTGGTAAGGAGCCAAACTTTGTTCTGGTTACAGTCGACTGAAAATGTTCTGTTTGGGCCAGGCTGGGCCAAACAAAAACGTTTTGCCAGGCTGAGAGTTACGCGGGAGGCTTGACTAACATACTATCTTCACACTCCGGTAGCAAGGCGGGGGCTCCCAGAGGTGCACTTTTTTTTTCCCCTAAATGAGAGCGCAGCTGATGTCACAAGCAGATGGCCTATTCACGCAGTGGCAAAAGAAAAACACCGCGGCGTTTGCCTTCTTTCTGAGTGTTCCCCATTCATGTGGCGACTGACTACGAGTGCATGCTTCAATTAGGGTTCCTTGCTTTCGATACATACCAATAAAACCTGAAAATTAAGCACCTAAATCGGTTAAGTCAATATAAAGAAACGAAATACAAACATCACGCATGAAGTAAATTGTTGTCTACGGCTTCATTTTGCGCTCACCTGGACTACAGTGCGCAGTCAACTGTCTGCGAAGCTTCTTCTTGCTTGGAAATTACACATCTTATCTCTCGTTTTATTTTCTTATCGGCACGGAAATGTTTTTCAAGTGTTTGGGGTCACGCTGATGTCTACCGCAATTTTCGGGGAATTCCATGCCCGTGTTCTATTATTGCCAACTCTCTATTTTTCTCAGACATTAAAACTTTTTACACAAAAACACCGAATTGGTGGGAAAACTCAACCCCCCCCCCCCCCCCCCCCCCCCCCCCGGGCCAAACAAAACAACCCCCCGAGTTAAAAAAAAAAAAAATCCAAAAATATGGAACCTCAATAGCAAAGCCCACATACGTAAGCGAGAGTAAAGAATTGTTTACAGGGGTAGTCTCCAACATTGTGTAGAGTCGGGCTAACCTAAAGTGGCTTTCCATTTGTGCCTTTTTTTACGCCTCTAATTAGTCTGCGAAAGCCACCACCCTCGCCCTCTGATTAATGTTATGCTGGTCTTTAATTTACGTTTAACTCTGTCAGAGTTATGGCAACCAAAACCTTTTATGCAGCAACGTTCGATGTACATTTTTATTGTTGGTTAGTTCTAAACAGAGTTTTGCGTAGATGCCGAAATTTGAAAGCTTTTGCCGCGCCTACTTGGTAGATTGCGCGTTTCAGGCTCGCGCTTGGGCAGATGGGCGGTTTCACGAAACGCTTTTTGATTTTCAGTGAACAGCGTTCAGCAATGTTTATGAACAGCATCCGGCACTCTTTTCCCATTAGTCTGCAGGCAGACGCTCAGTTGTTGGCGTCATTTTTGGTGATGGTCAAAGGCGCAAGCATAGCGACTGGCTCCGTCGACTACATAACTAAGTACGACAGGCCAGTGCATTTTTGACGCTTAAACTAGGCTTTTGATTTTGTTTCTTCGGAGGGAGTGGGTGTTGCGGTATAGCTTGGCAGTGTTTTCTGTGACTATTTTGCCTGCCGACGAGCCGACTTTTCGAGCACCGGCTCGTCTTAACCCGAAAGCAGAAACATCAAGTACCAACTGATGCTCTTTTATGTTCCCGACTACTCTGGCTGGGACAGTCGATCACAGCGCAAAACAAACTCGAGAGAGCCTGAAATCCGTAGATAAAAAGACATAGAGCAAAAATGTATCAACATCGCGCCTGGCCAAATTTCGATCTGGAAATACGTCACGTGAAACCGCCCTCTACGAGACTGACACAAGAGACAGCTCTTAATTTCTGCAATAGTTCATGTTCCTGGCAGCCACTGCGCCGTTACATTCGAAGCATTCGCTCAACAATAGGGTGATATACTCACAGGTGACCCAGTTGGTGAGCTATGACGTAGGGCCCCCCATGTTCCAGGTGGGCCAAATGTCAGCGTTTGAGTGGTGATGGGGCTCTCCTCGCACACGCGGCAAGAAAATCCGCATCCTGACAAAAGAGACAAGGCTTCATCAACCAGAGGAGAAATGGCAATCAGAAAGAATGCTTCGCGTACTGGCGTTTGGTTCCTCCGAACGACTGCACAACGACAACATCAGCTGGAAAACAAGCCCCCCACCCCCCTTCCCTTCCAAGCGCAGCTAAATGTCATCACTGGTGTAAACACGCAGCGCGACATAAATCGCGTCAGCGTTGCCGCAGGCGTGTCTGCTGCTTTGCCCCATACTCTAGCCATGCATCAGCGTGTGTTCCGCTTGGTACGGTTCGGGCATCTGCTAACATACCCTTTCTCATAAGTGGTGTGGGCTGCGAGCTTTTGTAACCACGTACGACGGGAAAACAACCTCTTCTAGGTTTCAGAACGCTTCCAACTGGTCGAACGGGGTCACGTGGCTTGTGGATCGCGTGACCAATACGCGTTGCGACAAGGTGACGCAAGCGTTGATCAGCTGCTAGCGTTTAGGCCCACCCTCCAGCTTTCCCACGCCACGCGACGACGCCACGCATGCGCACTTGGAACCAATTGGCGCCGGAGGCTTTCGCCATTAAAGGGACACCGACAGGGTATTTATGCTCGCCAAGGTTTTTAGTTGTACGTGACATATGAGAGCTCAACTACCCAGAACAGAATTTGCGGCTCGAAATTCGGTTTCCTTCCGCCCGAAAACCGCCGATCAAGAACTGGCCGGTTCGAGTCTCGCTTACTCTCTTTTTCGCAGTCACGGGCCGTTTTCTAAGGTATCGATGCGACCACCAAATTTAATCAAAGGCGTGGGTCACTGAAGGCACACACACTCAATATTAAATATATAAAAAAATATGAAACCCATCTGTAGTGGCTTCTAAAAAGCTGTAAATACGTTGATTGAAAAAAAAAAGTTCCACAGATAACCGGAAGCATTCTGTGCGTTCGTCGTCGCGGGGACGGCGATGGTAGCGGACGACGGGCGTGGGACCTCTATTTCAGAACTGTCGTCCGCGGTACCGGTGAAATCTGTCTACCGTTAAAAGAGAAATTTGGGACTGATCAAAAGAATTGGTATTCATCCCGTACGACACGCCTGGCCACCAAGCCGATTTGCACGAAGACGTGGCCGAGCCGTCGCTCCCTTCTCGTGGCTGAAGACATCGCTCGCGCAAACTTCAAGCACGACGTGTCTACTTCGAGTTGAATATGCACGCGTACGATTTCTTTACTGGTGCGAATGTCCCCAAAGCGTGGTGCTTCCCGACTTCGACCCGGGAGTGCCTTTGCTAGAGAAAAATCGACAGCAAACTTTCCAACTTAGTTTACCGGCTGAATTATTACTAAGGAAAGAGATCCTCCACAATAGAGATGCCCCAGTAGCTCAGTGGGAAAGACGTCCGGTTCACACGCTGTAGGACCGGGTTCGATCCCCCGTGAAACATAATTTCTTTTTTTTCAAACATTTTCTGATGTTTGCATATGTTTTTCTTTTTTTTGCAATAATCACTGAAGAAACAAACAAAAAATAACAAACAAATGTTGTGGACGGTACTTCGCTGAATTAAATGGTATGGGATTTCCGTTTTGACACCTGAGAACTAAATGTAATCACTTTACACAAAATGCAAGGAGCATATAAATCAGGTAGCGTCCGCTTTCTGAGGTGCCCGTATGTGTTCTACAGGAATTGCAGCCAACCATTGGTCCCGATCCCGTTGATCTTTCGGAAACTCTGTCGCACAATGCCACTTTTTTTCGGATGCAGGACATGTGAGCCAGCTCTTCACGCAACATCTTGGGTGTATTCTTTTCAAAGCCGCTCATGGAAATTCACCAGGGGCACTCACTACTCATCTTCAACTCCTCAATCTACAAAACAACTCATCTTGGAGTACAGAACAACGAGCGGAACAAACATAACTGCAAAAGAATCGCACGGCGAGCAGTTCCCGCACGCCGCATCGCACGCCGCATGTCGTGTCGTCTGCTACGGAGAGGAGAAAAAAAAAAAGGGAGTGTCTACATCCACGCGCGGGGATGTAGCCATGTCGGGAGGAGATAAGGCTCCATCCACGCACTACGTCACTTCCGGCGCCCACGTCACTTTTTTGCGTGGACGGAAGCAGTTCTTTTTCCGTCTTCTCTCCGTCCACGCAGCAATCAACCCACGGTCTTGTCTCCCATTGTTTTGCCTTGTGCTCGGTGGCCATTGCTCCTTGCGTTCCTGCCGTGCGCGGACTGCTGTTCCTGCCTGGTCTTCCCCAAGCGGGTTTATCTGAAGTGTTGTTTGTATTCTTTTTTTTTTTTATTGTTTTCTTGTTCAAGAAAACTTTGTGTATTCACACGGTCGCGCTTCTGACATGCCTCGAGTTTTGGTTGCCGGGGATTCGATGGTGAAATACTTGTCCCAGTATTTCACATCGAATAACCGGGTGGCTGTCGAAGTGCGGGTGCTCAGTAACATTAGGATCGAGGCTTTGCTTCTCAAAGTGTCTGACGCCCTGCTCGATTTTGGCACAAACAACACCAGCGTCGGCTGGCCGCTCAGATCTTGGAACGCAATCCGACGACGCAGATCGCTTTTTCTTCCGAGTTGGGAGAACAGGTTCTTATTGTTGGAGTGTCAGCGTAGGCAGAGTGCAGTGATCCAGGCGTAGAATGATCGGCACAGAGGAGTGAACTGGCTCCTGCAGGAGTTCTGCCGCAAGAAGGGCTTCGTGTTCATTGGTGATCTTGTGGACGAATGGCATCTGTGCATCGGCTACTGTTTTATTTGTCATGAAATAAACTGTTTCTGGAATCTTTTACCCAGTTTTCTCGATTGAATGCTCTCAATAGGTTTGTTATTACTGAGTCTAATGCATGCTTTCCCTTCTCGCACAATCTTTGTGAGATAGCGAGCGTGCGCGCAAGTCAAGAACATACGAAGCGTGTGCTCGCACTTGCCCCCTTCGATGCACATAAGCTCACACTACAACGCCTTAAACGAATTAAGCCAATCACATACACGGCGAAGCCTCGCCGCCTCGCCTCAGCAGCGATGTGGACATGGGCCAAGGCCCCAGAGGCCGCAGCCGCGCCAAGCCAACCAAGCCCACACTAGCCCACACCACATGGCTGCAGGCTGCACGCCCACACGCACGGATGGCACGCACGCTGCCCACACGTGTGTGTGACTCCTGGACAACATAAATATAAAGACACCTACGGATACTATTTTTATGACGCATGATATTTCCTATCAGTGTTAGAAAACAGTGAAACATTGATAAATTGTCTAAGAATTAGTAAGGTCAAGTGATATATTAACTTTAAAACAACAATAAAATGTAACCTCTTTATTTTTAGATCCTATATTTACTTGTAAGAAAGCGTAATATGTAAATAAAAACAAAGTATGTCCTTAAATTATAATTCACGTGACCTTTTGCGTGGATGGAGCCTTATCTCCTCCCGGCTTGGCTACGTCCCCGCGCGTGGATGTAGCCTCGGCCAAAAAAAAAAAAACGCACGGTCGGGTGTAGCCACGTAACTTCCGCCAGTCTCTCTCTTCTCTCTACTTCTCCGACCTCTGTCGGGTTTCGGTTTCGGTTTCGAGCAGTTGCGTCTTTTCGCTTTATTAAAAAAATACCCTACTCTGTTGCAAAATATTAATTGGGTAGTCCTCCGACACCATAATGAAGCGCCTGGCAAAAAACAGAGAAAATTTTTTGGGGGGTGTCAGTGTCCCTTTAATGTGCAAGCGCTATTTGTGGTTTCAGTTGCTTGCTCTTTGTTTCTTTTTAAATCTTGATTCTCTAGAGAGCCCTCTGCCACGCTTTTGCCATCAATGAGGTCGCCCTGGAGCTACATTTCCTCGGAAGGAATGTTCCGGAGTATTTGTGAGACGAAATGTACGTATTATCCACGAGAAATGGTGGTTAATAATATCGCTATTTTTTTTTTTTTTCATGCCCGGGGTGAGATAACGACGAGCGAAAGAATAAGTAAATACGGATATCTTCGGGTGTCCCATGGCTATCCAATTGGCGTTAGTGTATTCCCTCGTCTCTAGCGATCAGAAGACTGCACAACGCACTCTTTTGCAACCAAACGCAAGTGTGTGAAACCGACTTTACGTCAACTGCGTTCTCAGACAAGTGATATGCGAGAGATGGACGATATGACCGCGTTACAAAAACGGCATTGGCACAATCTACTTCACGCGCGAATCAGATCCCCTTCAGCGCACAAGTTTCTTTGTGATGTGGATACTTCAGTATTGGAAATAATATTATTCGTAACCAAATTCAGACTTCTATTTATTTTTTTCTAACGGTGGCTTATATATCACCCTTTATAGCAGCCGATCAGTGGTTCGTCATTGCCGTTTATGGTTTTATTTTCAGCTAGGCGATTCCAAGATTTTTACTTGACTATCGATTGAATAATAAAAAAACTTGTACGTACCACTAATAAAGCCATTCAAGAGCCTGCGGGGAAAAACAGAAAGCATGGTATAGTCGTACTACTAACCTGCAGGGTATTGAACCGAACCCGAACCGTAAACCGAAAACCGAAAAAACGCTATTTTCGCGCAAAGCAAAGTTGAACCGGAGCAAATATATATATATATATTTTTTTTTTTGCTCCAGTGCGGAACCGATATGTTTTCCTTGCAGTTTTCGGTTCATACGCAAAGTCAGGTTGCGTGAAAAGTGCGTGGAAAACAACGCGGTAACTTAAAGAATAAACCGAAAAATAAATATATATATATATATATATATATATATATATATATATATATTTTTTTTTTTCCGCAAACGAAAGTTGAGCCAAACAGAAGTATTTATTTTTTCGTTCCTGGGCAAATCTGATAAATTATTTTTGTGGTGTTTCATTCATGTGGGAAGTCAAAATCAAGAAAAATAGGTAGCAGAAAGCGCTGTAACGTTCCTTTATCAGGTTTTCACATAACGATCGTCTTCATAATTTATGAAGTTCGTCTCGAGAACTCAAACAAAATGAGCAAAGTAACTATAAATTATTCGGGATTTCTGGTTTTATGTATTTCTTTAACCAATGCCCACATTCGTTCCAACATTTTCTTGGGGACCGTAAATGGTTCATTAAAGCAAATTTACCACTAGAACATACCCAATTCGCACGTCAGCAAAAGTGACCAATTAATGAGTCTGTTTGGTGGCTGAGTGGTAAGTTAGGCTAGTTGGTTTTTCATCTCGGACTGAACGCAAAAAAAACAAAAAAAAAATACGACAAAGAGAGGTGTACAAAAATTTTGTCTATACCTCTCTTTGTCCTTATTCTTCTTTTTCTTTAGCATTTAGTCTGAGATCTGTTTGATGTTTCTTGTGTTCAGTTTTGTAGAGTTGTGTGCAATTTTTTTAAAACGCCTTAATTTCATTGTACAACTGATCGGATAAGAAAGCGATACAAAGGCCGATGGATGTTTTAGAACTTGCATCTGTTGCCACAGTGTTGCGCATCCAACCTGCTTTTAAAATATATCAGCAGATTTAATAATCTGTCAGAAATTAAAGTCTAGCATCTGGAAGGGGAGCGGCGATTCAATCAACAGTTACAGCTACAGAAAACAGTGAAACAGCTTCGATCTTTGGAAGCAGCAACAGCAAGGACCAAAACGTTTTCTCCTCAGAAACATAAACACCAAGGCGCAACGCTGTTCTGAGCATTACTTCCTTTCCACAGTCAACGTGTCTCTCCGTTTCTATGATCTTTTTCGTTTTTTTTTTTTCTTTTGGAAAGGTGGACGCCGATGCACCTTGCGAGTTGCCACCTTTCTGTCCAGACCAAGGTGCAAGGAAAACATTTAGGTGATAACTCTGGCCGCGCTCTTCCCACGGGGAGCGAGCGACCAGGTCGTGTTCGGATCTAGCCTCGAACCAGGAGTAGTTAGTTCCGCGCCGTCGCGGAGGGCGCTGAGCAATGAACACCGTTAGAGTAACTGTATGTGCTCCGCTTGCGGATCAGCGCCCTTCACCGCGATCCTCATACGAAAAGATGAAGTGTAGCAACTGTGTGGCTTTCAAGCCAAAACGCAAACTAAAACAGAAACAAACAAAAAAATATGCCAAAATTTTTGCTGTCGCTAATCTGATTCTCGGCAAAATGCGCTAGTATAGACCATTTGCGATATCCCCCGTTTGCCCCGGCCCGCGCAAAAAGAATGATGCGAATGGTGTTCCCTCAGCCCCTTAGTGATCGGTAATTTCAACCCTCTTCTTGGCTACACAGGTTCTGTGCGTAATTCGGAGTCACCCTGGACAAGCGCCTGATGTACCCCAATGACCTGTCATATCGCTTTTTAAATTTCTCCTTAATTTAAGCGTTTTTGATACTGTGCATGCTGTCCACCCTCCAACCTGGATGGGCTGCAGAAACCTCTTACATTATTATCATGCTGATATTAAGTTAGAAACGCTAAAAATGCTATAAACAGCCCCGCGGACTCCGAGCTAAATCCTGTTTTTGTTGTTGTAAATTATCGGCTTTTTAAGCAATTTCTGCTCAAACAACAATCACGAGAATGATAATATTGTAAGAGACTTCTGCAGCTCAGCCAGGTTGAAAGGTGGCCCGCGTGCGCAGTATCAAAAATGCTGACGTTGACGAGCAAATTTAAAAGTAATATGACATGTCCTTGGGGTATATCAGATGATTGTTCAGGATGACCTCGAATTACGCTCAAAGTCTGTGTAAACATGGAGCTGGTAGAAAATTGCCCATCACTAGAGAGCTGAAGAAACACCGTTCCCATGATTCCTAGAGTGCGGGCCGGGGCGCTTGGGAATACTGCAAATGGTCCATTTAGCGCAATGGTTCCGTCTCAGCGAAGGGTGGCAATTTCAACCTCGTAACGGTCGGCCCACTGTTGTGTTCGGAGAGCCAGTTTGTTTCCCAGGGCGTCGGTAGTTTCGAATGCAGCCACCGCAGCTTCCTCCGACCGCCGCCTATGGTCCACGTACTGTTGTCTACAAAGAGGTAATTCTTCGTCCCGGGTGTCGTTGGTTTCGTGGAAACGGCATCGTCGCTGCGCCTCGGTTTTACGCTGTCGCGTAAGTTGTACCCCAGCCACGGCCGTTCGATCCCCCTTTCTCCCGGTCACGCGGCGTGTTATTGGAAGCGTGCTGGAAGTCTCTTCCCTTGTAAGAGGGGAAGTGGAGGTAACGAACGAACGAACAAAAGTGAAAGTGCACGGCGGGCACCGCGCATCGGCTTTACTAAACCACTTCAGTTCAAAACAAAGACGACTGCATGGAGCAGGGAAATGAATGCTCGCGCATTTAGAAGTCCGGAATTATTTGGCGGATTAGCGCAAAGACTGAACTCCGCCCCCCCCCCCCCCCCCCCCCCCTTTAACCTTTTTTCTTCACTGCCACAGAATGTGGATCCCATGAAGACAGTCTCACTTCCCAATCTGTGAACTTTCCTGTCCTGCCAAAAGGGGTGGCACTGCTGTCGGCATTGCGCATGCGCAGATGCTTCCTCTCAAGGAATCGGGTTTCTGCGCACCCGCAGTGCACACACCAAGTATGGGAAAACGCCTGCTCTTTTTACATTAAGTGTTGCTCAGGGATATACTACTTTCTAAAAAAGACAAAATGGTGGATCCGTGAGAGTCTGGGCAAGTACAGCGCGACTCGGAGCACATGGAGGGAAATCCCACACTGCAGACATTCGGTCTCGTATGCCCTCTCTGCATGTTTCAATATGAGAGAGCCTCGTACAGGCATGTGGTCATCTAAGGATTCGTGAGTGATACACTCGAAAGACACCAGGTTAGCAGTCTTTCCGCTATACAAGGTCTTTCCTTTTAAGCTTCACATATCTTTTTTTAAAAATCCGTGAAAGCTACATTAATGCTCTCTGCGCATTTGAGTTACATGGCATTGGGGGGAAAAATAGAAAGGATAATTGTCACGATAGGTTAGATAGTTAACTTGAATCTCTTTGTTATCTTTTTACTTAACAAAATAAACGCATGGTTTCAATTGAAACCTTGCTGAGCGTCATCGAAAACCACAGTCATTTTAGAAAGCCTTGAAACGCGTGCGATGCACGTTGGTGCGGTAAAGTTCGTGTGACGGGCGCAAGGATAGCGGCGGGAAAACCCGGAGGATGAGAGACGAAAAATCCGCGAGGGCACGTTCTCGCACTCCAGCTTGTGCCACGTTGAACGACTGCTAACTTAAGCGTACCACTGCTCTGCCCACGTGTTCCGAGCCTCTAAAATTTACCGAATTATTGGTTTTCGATGGGCTGAGCAAGTGTCTAATTGGAATCATTTGTTTATCTGTACTTATAAAGAAGTTCATCACAAATCTTTGCTAATTCATTTACTTAACGTGACGACTAAATTACTATATTATGTCCTGGTCGTGAACTAGCTGACCAGCCCAGAGCGCACTAGGGAAAGTTTTGAGGTTTTTCTTAACACTCTGTAAGCATTTAATAAAGCACCTTCTATATAGGCCAGCGATTAAAAAACAAAGACCGCTTTCATCCCCAATGACGCGTATTAAACAAAACAGTTGCCAGGTCTTTGAGTCATTGTTAAAACGTTTTAGTCAGTCTGTATGCGTTACCGAAGAGAAAATGTAACAAAATACGCTACTCGTAACTTGAAAATAAGTGGAACGCATTACCGATCTACGTTACCTCAAAATAAAAGGAGCGCGTTACGACTATCGTTAGAATAGTAACGCACGCGTTATTATTACGTTACTTTTGAATGGCGTTTATTTACCCGTCATCGACGGCGACAGCGTTTTTCTACACTGAAGAAGAGAGCGTGCTTGGCGCAAAGACGCAAATAAATATAAAGCATGTTTGAGGGCTTGACAAGATGTAACGAGTAATGCAACCACGTTATCCGCTACCGAAAATAAGTAACGTAAGTTCGTTAGCCGTTACTGCTTCGAAAAGAATCTGCGATGGTGCGATACTACGTTGCCAAAAACGTAACGCTTTCCCGCCAACACTGGTTTTAGTGGATCGCTCCCATAACTCCGATAACGATATTCGATAACACGCTTACGCATTTGTGCATTCATCGTATCGTTATCGGGTATTGTTATCGGAGGTATGGAAACAATCCACTAAACACTCTGTTATTAAGTAGGGAGTTTAGTTAGCTTACGACGTGACATAGATAACAGCATCCTGCGTGTCCTTCGTCAACGTTGCGTTCACGTATTTGGAGAAGCTGCCCATGGTTCCGCATAGATCAATAAGCGATCGATCATCTTCAGGATCGGGAATGAGACGAGTGAACGTGTAGTTCTGAAACAAAGGGACAGGCACGTGAAGGGATCAGAGGCGGCAGCATAAATGGTGCCCGGAACGCATCTCCGACCGGTGTGTTTATACCCCATCTAAAAAAAGTGGTCCTACGATCTCCGCTCGATGACGTTGTACATCTCACGTTCATGCCCGCCGCGACCCTAGCAGTGTCACAGCATCGGACGTGGATGTGGCAGATGCTTGTTCCGCTGCAAGTCGCTCTTTTGCGTGGCAGACCTCGGAAACTTCAGCACCTATGAGTTGCGGTCCCTCGACGAAAGCGGCACTCGCGTTGGCTCGTACTTTTCGCCACCACTTCTTGCACCAACCTCCGGGATCGCCACATGCGACATGACAACCCGGCTCCTGTGGTGTCATTTGTTGCCAATTTGGGACCGCTTGTCATGCGTGGGCGGGATGCGACGCTAAACAAACCAGTCGGGAACGCGTCCCAGGTACCCTAGCGCGGCACTGAGTTATCGATGCGAAGGCGGAATAATGTTGTGCAACGTACCGTGAGTCTTGTAATGCTCAGGACGATGAACTGCACTTTAGGCTTGGACAGTTGTTTGTAATACTGGTTCACCTAAAAAAGGTACAAATAATATTTAAACGTTGATACTAACCCCGGTGGCAGTAACTTCACAGGCGGGCAATATCTGACCAAGAAAGAGAGCAGTACGATTTCTAGGCTTCCGATCCCAAGAGGCTTGGCCGTTTCTTCGTGTATTTGTTCATAATTTTCACTTAAACAAGCACTTCCGAGTAATAAGATAAAACAACATTTCCCTACCGTGGTTAGGCGTTTCTGTGGGGTTCATGAAATCAAGATGCGTTTCAGAACCGAATAGTTCCTTCGTCAATCCAGCTAAACTTATTTAGTTCTTTTGCTGGATTGACGAGGGTCCTTACAGTTTCCGGAACGTTTCTTGATTCTGCGATCCCGATCTTGACGCTCATGAAACAACACTGTGAATGAAATTGTCACAAGAAGAATAACATACACCAATACACAATGCAGACATAAATGAAAAACGAACTGATGTGACTAAATGTTTGTTGGTGTACCTTAATCTATGGAAAATGGGAGCTGATCTTCCCTATTGGACGCTGGTTTGAATCCGCGATCTTTTGGAGACTGGCGGATTTGTAACAGAACCCTGGCTTGAGGATTATGGCCGCCTAGTGCTAACACCAGGTCGTCATATTATGTACCCATACTTTGAGCTACATATGTCGCTATCTATATTTTTATTAGCTTAAGCATTGTGGAACAGTCCACATTACTGTAAACAAAGTAATGGCACCAGTACTATTCCCGTACCTGACAAAACCATCTTACGTCGAATGTGTTTTCGGGATGATAAACCTTGGTGTAATTGTGTGGGTAGCGAGACTCATAATACCAATAGACTCCTTTCGAAAGGAGCGCACTATATTTGCTGGGCCAATTCTCCAATTCCGCCATTATTTGGGAACATCTACGGAGCTCGTATTGGACACGAGGTGTGCGTCCGCGTCCGCGTTCGGCGAGGATTCAGATCCAGTCACATGTTTCTTGCCCAAGTAATGGCGACCGCCAATGTTGCTTGACGGGGCTTTTAAGAAAAAGGGGGGTTACCATGAAGAAAACTATTATTTTTCGCTATGATCACACCATCGCTTACACCATCCAATGAGAGTGATGTGTGAGCGTTCACTTTGACTGCGTCTCACTCTGCTTCGATCAATTTAGCAGATGAGATTTGGCTCACGCCTCGCTAAACTAAACGGAACTTCTTGATTGCCACAATTTTTTTTTTGCCTCGTCTTTGTGTGAAACATTTTCTTAAAACGCCGGCAATGCATTCTTCGTTAAATGTTTTGCATTCAATTCTCAGATTTAAAAGATTACACCCGTTTTTCTGCCTTCTGCAAAATTAACAGCACGTGCAGCCCCAGGTGTTTCGAGCCATTACAGGTCACAGTTAAGATATGTAGACAGCTATGATAAGGCAAATTTTGCATACCTTACTCATTACAAGGCCAAAATACTGGATTAAATCATCCATGGTTTTGTTTGGGCCAAAGGAAGGGTCTGAAAATATTCTGACTTCTACGACAAATTCTTCCGGTAAGTTCTCGAGGTTTCTTCCAGTCGCTGAAAAAGAAAAAAAAAACACTAAAAACCAACACATTCCGAATAGTTTTAGGCCAATATGTCGTTACACCATCCCGCTCGGAGTACTAAACACGATGAAGTTGAATTGTCAAAAGATCACAATTAATGTAATACATTAAAAATGTGTCCTAATGCAATTAATATGTGTCAAGGAATGCGAATTTCGCGCAATCCTTTTATTGGAAGGGGATGCGCCTACCCAATTGCAGATTTTGCGTTAGAAAAAAATAGCATCCAATAAGTAACTAGGAATTCAAATAAACTTTGACCTGAACTTACAAACACACGTCAATTATATTACTAACAACACTAGTCGCATGACTGGGTATTTCGCACATAACTTCCTCTTGGCACCTTTAACTTTAAAACTTCTGCTGTCTAGAAGTCTTGTCCATTTTAAACTTGAATATACTTCTTCAGTGTGGGATCCAAGCCTCGAATTTTCTACTAATTACCTAGCATAATTTCAAAACAGCCGACGCGAGTTTCATTTTTTCTAACCACTCTCGTCTATCGAGCGTACCATCAGTAAAGTAAACTTAACTTTTTTCCAGCTTGTCCTTTTCAAAAGACTATCGGTACAAGCTCTCTTTCTAAAAATATACCATTATAATCAATCAATAAAAAGTTGGCTTCTTTCGTACTGACGTCTTACTTCTCTTACACAAACTAACGTCATAAAGGAGATGTTGCTTATTTTCTTTCTAAATTTTTTTTGTTCTTTATATATTTGTTCCAAAGACAAGAGCTGCATGGAACCACCTGCCGACCTCTATCGCCATAATGAACGTACGGCCACGTTTTCAAAGTCGCCATTTAAGATCACTTTCTATTTTATGATTTCTTTTCTTTTAAGTCCGAGCGCAATCAATGCCACGATCCGGTGCAGCCAATCAGGCAACGACAAAAGACTCGGCACTCGTCGTCTTTGTGGATTGGCTATTGTCACGAATGACGAGGTGACAAACAAGGAATAACAGAAAAAACTGAAACTTTTAATGGGGCGAACTTGTGCCGAAATCAAAAAGGGACGGGAAGATAACGACAGAGCGTCGCGGGCGTTGAAGTCGGCGTAGCAGCAGAGTCGGACGCTGGGAAAGGACTGACTCCGCTCGCCTTGCGGGATGCCTTATGTACCCTCATGGGTTTCTGGATCATTCGGCGTAGAACTTTCGGTGCGTAGAATACTCGGAACTCGATCAGACGAGAATGTTCCCGAACTTACGAGAAGGCCAAATTGAAAGGACAAATAAAAGGACAGTCCGCCGACTGGACTCGAACCTACACCTACCGCGCGAAGGTCGAGTGCGGTAACCACTCGGCCATGCACGCACTTGCTCGCCGACACCCGGGGCACTATCACTGGCTAAACCAATCGCGCACAGAATGAAGTTCGTGATCAGGCCGCATTCGCTGTGCGTGATTGCTTTAGTCGACGATAGCCAATGCACAAAGACAACTAGCACCAAACCGATGCAATTTTGGCACTGCTTGATTGGCCCTTCATCGAATCGCATATCGTCGGATGTGGTTGGACGTGGAGTGACGCCGATTACGTTAATCTATATTCGTTGGAGTACACACAGTCAATGCGCGGGTGACCTGGTGGAAGTTAATCGTGATGACTCTAACCCAAGACTGGGACGGAATAAAGGAAAATTTTTTCAGTGGTAGCATGGGAGCGGTGACAGACGCGTGTCTAGTTAGAGACATATTTTTCTTTGGTCATTTTTCCCCCCGCCCCCCCCCCCCAAAAAAAAAAAAAAAGAAAAAAAGAATCAAGCAGTGGTTTTGGGGCTTAAGTTTAAGTCAATTTGCACAACGCTGCACCGACATATCTGAAATTTCCTGCTGGGATTGAGAGCTTCCAAGAGATGGGAACCGGGTGCTTGTAAAGGCTAATTGACAAACGAATCCTTATCGACTTGTTTTCGAAATTAAGAAAGAAGCAATGGCATGCACGAATCTGGTTAGAGACCTGTCTGTCCTTCTTTCTTTTTCTACCACTGAAAACATTTTTCCACCTGCCCCAGTCTAGGGTTAAAGACAATACGATAAACTATGTTGTATCTTCTTGTATTTCATGTTTTGTCAATTTACACTTGTTTGTCTTGACTGCTTCTCTCTCCCTTCTGTAACACCTTCGGGGTCTTGACGATAATAAAATAGATAAATATAATGTCACTTGCCTTCAGGGGTGGACAGGCCGACATCCTGTGCTGAGAGGCTTAGATCTTGAACTGTGTGAAAAGGCATGGCACCGTATGATAATTTAGTATAATATTGTTCCTATTGTAATAACTTAAAATTGTAATGAAATAAATAAATAATATTTTCAATACTGTCATATTAAAATGTAAAGTTGAAGTAGTGCTTTTTGAGTTTAAGTAAAATTCAATTTGCACAATGCCGCCCGATCATGTTTTCAATTTCCTGTTAAGATTGCGAGCTTCCAAAAAATGAGAACCGAGTGCGGAAAAAAACCTAATTGGCAAAGAAATCGTGGTCAAATGATTTTCAGAATAATGTGTGTAGTGAAATCACGAATATCACTGCCCGATTTTAATTTTCACAAGTGCTGGGGCTTGAGGATTGTCATAAAAACGCGGAATGACGCAAAAATAGCTTTGCACTGCGAAAGTAACGCAGTATTTCTTTTTTCACCAGAATGTTTGACACTGCGATTCCGAAGAGATGTCACGAAAAGCGCGTCTGCGAGCAATTCAGACCAGAGACGATAATAGGGCGGTAGATTATCCGTTTATCCATCCGTAAACCAAATTTGCTGCAAATATTCACATTGTAATTACTCTGCACTAAATAAATACTGGGCACTAAATATGCTTACATTCATTTGAAAGGTAATTTTCCCCAATAGTTTATTTTGATTTGAGTCTTACCAGATTTGTCGCCGAGTGGATTATCGATGTCCTCAAGATCTAATAATCTGTGAGCAACGAGATCATCTTCTGACCTGCGACTCGATGCGACTGGCTCGATTGAGAATTTGTTGTTCAGGATTCCTCTCTACAAAAAAATTGGGCGTAAGCCACACATTAGAAAAGGCCTTGTGTGCAACGATATATTTAAACAAAGCTTAGACGTGGTTCTATAAAACGAGAAGCAAATCATACCACTTCCACAGCTCCCTTTTCTTCATCAACAAACACAACAGAGGCGCGGTTTCTGTCTTGATAAAAATTGTTTTCTAGGTCCTTGCCATTCATCTGCAGGGAATGTTTGAAACGATAAGATAAATTTTGTAATAACTTCGCAAACGCTTGCTTGCCCGAAAACTATTCTGGATTTGATATTGAACTCACCATGCCTACCTTCCACTTACAAATTTACCAAGAAGTTTCATGTTTTGTGTGCCACCATTTACATTGCAAATTAAACTTATGACCTTATAAAATTATTATCATCACCATCATAATTTTTGTGCTTACGAACAGCGAAACGTTTTGGATGATGATGCACAGAAAACACATTAAAAAACTTCGATGACCACTCAATGTTTTTGTTATCCAATAACTATGTAGGGGTTCATTTTACCAGCAACTTGTCCTGGAAAACGCACATAAAGAGCACAATCCCCAATGCTTCTAAGAAGCTCAATTTCTTAAAACGCAACGTTCATTCCGCTCCAGAAATAACGAAGCTGCTAGATTATAAATAAATCAACCTTCCCAAACTAGAATATGCCAGTATTATATGGAATCATCACCAAAGCTATTTAACTTTGAATATAGAAGCGCTGGAACTAAAGCTGCCCGATTTATTTGTCACGAGTACTCCACCTTCACAGGTGTCACAGACTTAAAGAGAAGCCTGGGCTTAGACCCTTTAGAGATTCGGCGGAAAATTGCTCGTTCGTGTTTTTTTCATCAAATATATTACGACGGATCATCATTCAAAACATTTCTCTGCTCACCGGCACTGTTCATATCTGCTAGACTTGATCACTCTTTCAAAATGGAACCCATTAAATCACGTACTAACCTGTTCATGTTTTCATCACTTCCTGTAGCCATCAAGGAATAGAATAGTCTCCCCAGTGATGTTGTGGTTTTATCAGACCCGATATTGTTTAAACAGAGTTGTGAAGAGTTATTTTGTTTACCTGCTATTCCATGACGGTTTTTGTATTGTTGTTAACTTCAGTGTTTGCAGTGTTCGAGTTCCACAATGTGTGTGCAATTGATTGCACGTTTTCCTCTTTTGTACACTTTGGCGTTTTTGTTCTTGCCATGGTCAATAATTTTTTTTTTTAAGTTTCTCATATATCAATAAGTCACGACTTCTCCCAAATTCTTGTCATCCCCCCCCTCATGTAATGCATCAATATATGCTTTTGAGGTCAATGAATTATGTGGCTTATGAAACTAGCTGAAATGGTGTAATTAACAAAGGCACTTGCACTATAACTAAACAAGATTTAAATATAAAAATAAAAAAATGAAAAAAACTAATATAAAACTCACAGAAAATATTTTGCAAAGCGTACATCATAAATAGTTAAATATTAGACAGATAGGACCTAAACCTCTGAATGTATGAGTTGGAGATGTCGATACTGGTTCTACCTAAGGTGTATAAAATGTCGTATCCCGTTAAGGGGCTGGTTAAGTTTTTATTTTTTCCAACTGAGAAAGTCGGACTGACACTTAAAATTACTCGCGGCATCTAGATTCAGTAGCTGACGAAGTTTGCGCAGTCAATTAGACGGTATGCAAACACGTCTACGAAGAAAACAAGATCGCGCTCCAGCATTCTCGATCTTAGCGTAGGAAAACCACATTGTGGGGGAAGTCTCGCATAATCATAATACACAGGGCGGCCAATGTAACAGTCCTAAATAATGAAATGAATGTCTACGCTCATTTGCAACGCTGCTTGGTTTGTACAAGTACAGTTCCAAACGGCAGAAAAAAACTCAAGATTGGTACGGATAAAAGAACAATATAAATCGAATATACAAGTTGGCAACATCACACATCAATGCAGTCAAATCAGCATTTTAAACTACGCATTAACGAGTGAAAGCGCGCTGTAATTACGATTACCTTAATTTAAAGGAGCTAACTTTACTGGCAATAGTAATGAAACGTAATTATATTTGCTAAGTTTTCAATACATCGGTCTCATCCGTCTTAAACGAATCATGGCGACATTTTACAGCTCCAAAAAAGGATGTTACCTACGAAACCTAGCCTAAAGCATTTAAGTCGTTCCAGTAGAGGATTCATCAGGGGTAATGACTATGGTGAAGACGTTTCACGTTTAAAATTAGCCTACTTTATGCCAGCCGATACTGCATGAAATATTAGCGAAATGTTTAAACGGCACCTAAAATTAGGTGCATTTCGTGTCATTGTTTACGAAGATCACAACGATCGATTCAGTGTGAATTCGTAGATCTTTTCAGTTACGTTCGTCACATCTCTCTGGCCTCAACGATGAATCTTTGGTGGTACGACATCGCATGTACCTAAAAATCTTATTTTTAGGCCGTACGTATTTTTAAGCGGTGGTAGTTTTATTAATGCGGTATGTCATGGGAAGTTATACGGCCAGGTGTGCATAATATAGCGTTCTAATCGTCATGATAAGTCGAATAATTAGCTGATTTGTTAATTAACCGTTTCACTGAGTAGAAATGAATATGGGCTTTAGTCGAAATGTGCAGATGAATTAACTGTAGTTTATTAAATGCCACAAAATCTACGAGGCCGGAAAAAGATAAAATCTTTGGTGGAGCCGGGACTTGAACACCGGGCCTCCCAATATTAGAAAGTTATTGAGCGTTATGGAATCGCGCTAAATAAGTAGGTTTTAGAAAGTTTTGGAGAAAGTTGGATGTGTGGAAGGGCGCTAATGTGTCCACCGGCGATAAAGACGCAAGGCTAGCGTTAAAAAAAACGCAAGTAATGAGAGAAGGATAAGATTCCGAGGACACTTAAGCAGTTCTTACGAGTTGTGAATGCGAAAGTATGAATGTCGTTCTTTGGCTTCTTTAGTTCGTCTGCGGCGTACTAGCGTGGACAGCCATGTTTCGCTACTGCCGAGGTAGCGACCGACGGCCGGAAGCGCTCTCGTGAATTGCCCATGCCGCACTCAGCTCGGCCGTGCAGGCTCTCCAGAGTTTGCCCGTGCGAATTTGGCGGCCAGGCCCACAACTCTTACCGGCGGCCGGGCCGCTGCGTGCGCTGCGTCGCCATGAAGAGGGCTTGTCTTGTGACCTTCCTTGGAACTACGCCGCGCGTAAGCCAATGGGAATCTAGTTCCGTGCAACTTTGACGTGTACCAGCCAGTGGAAGCCTATCCATCAGATTTCTGCTTCAGACGACAAGCTTCACTCCATTGGGACAGGGGAAGGTGCCGTTTGGCGCGGCTTCAAAAGCTGATGACGTTGATTCGCTCCATGGAACAGTTAATGCTTCCGGATTAAAACCGCGCGGGTGCGTCGTAGTTGCATACACTTTGACAACATGCAGAGGCCACATTAACGAACTTCTTATAGCTTACGAAAACGTAGCTGAAAATTTCGTGAGGAAATCGGTTCTCATACGGAAAGACAAGAGCGTCTGGTGTCCCCCGAGGTCCCGATTACCGCGAGAGCGGGCTGTTGCTGTAGCGACCGCGTCTTCGGCGACACGAACAACCAATCGGAAAGCTCGGCATGATCGAAGCACGTGGATCTTAAATCACGTGCCTTTTCCGACAGCTGTTGATTGGATATTGTGTCCGCGTGGTATAATGTCAAAATAACGAACTCGATTTAAATGGGCACGAATACCCAGCACGGCCGAGGACAGGATAACCGCCATGGTCGATTGCTCGAACTCGATCGCTACGAAGTCAACACAACTGCCATCGTTGCTGAAACAAAATGAACTGCACGGCTCTCCAAAGCGGCGCACATCAAAATAAATCGCCTCGGCGTTCTTCGTAGCCACGGGGATTTAGGAGGAAGATGACGTAAAAGAGGACACGATTGAACTGCAAGAGTGTCAGCGAGAGCTGTGTAGATAACCCTTCACATTGAGAACGGAACCGCGCTGGTCCTGCGCTGTTGGACTGAGTCTTGGTAACCGCTTCAGGAGCGATCTTATACAAGCAATTATAGGAATTACTGGGCAACTAGACAATCTCAACTCGGTGCTGACGTGATGCTCGCTATAGAGGGAGGTTGAACTGGAATAGCGTAGCTGGCGAAAAGTGCTCTTACTCAACATGTGTTGGTGTATCGTCATGTCGGAATAAAAAGGACATCTAAATAAAGTGTACATACCCATGTCGCAAATCAATTCATACGGCGTTTATTTGAACTCTATAAAAAAAGGGAAAAAGAGTCAAGGGAAGTGGACCCCCCTTCCGACGAGAGCGTTCGCCACCGCTGATTCGGAAAACAAGGGACGACAAGTGGAAGATACTGACCCTCTTCCAGGCAAATACAGGTCACGGCTGAAACTATTCATACAGCAAAGGTCACTCGAGCATATTACATTCGGCAAGCCAGCCGATAGTGGGGATACGGTATTGGCCAGGGACCGTCAGAGAATCTTCGCGTCGGAGTACCTTGCTAGAGCGTTCCTAGTCAGCTCTTGGCGATCGCTTGGTCGGTCATTGCCGCTGTAGCTTTTCCCGGGTATCACTACCAGTCCAGCGTTCGTCTGCGCGGCATTCAGTCTCTGGAACTCATTTGTCTTCTCTTCCTGCTTCAAGTTGGGACGCGCTCGGAGAGCACATAGAAACATAAATGCCTATTGGTCTATCGTCGCGACGACAAAAGCGAGCGATGTTGCCGGCCATGTGAATTCGATCGTAAAACGAGCGTAAGACACATCTGGACTTGTAGTAGCACTCCTTCGTAACCTACGCAAAACGTGCGGTACTTTCGCTTCGTGAATGCGGATTTTTTCTTAAGTTTTGTCTGCGCACCTGTTGTGTAGCAATATCGTTTCGTGAATCTGGCCTTAGATAAAGGCAGCACGCGCACCAAATTTTTCTACAATTGTCTTATTTAGCGGTATTCGATGACGCTCAGGAACCTTCTAACCGAAACACTATGGTTATTTGCAATGATTGAAAAGCTCATTAAAATCTAAAGCTGTGTATACGACTTATCATAACCTCCCTTCTTATGTCCTCCGGCCCGTATAACTCACCCGAGAGACAGGATTAGCGCAGCTTTCACGGCGTTTATTTAGAAAATTCTGTAAAGCCTAGAACACGACACCCCTGTTGAAACCAGCAGGACTGGAATGTACTCACGAGTTTGTCGTGTCGATTTACGCCGTCGTCTTCTGAGAAAATAAAGTTGTCTGAGAACACTCTGCTCTTTTCGAGGCTCAGCACGAGTCCGGGTCGAATGTAGAGCGTCTTTTCGCCATTCAGATCTCTCGATTGAAGTATTCTGGGGTACACAATGTTCTCCGAGGGAAGCCCTGCAGCTGTATACGTTCATTGGTAGGTTAGGGTAGGTATGCACAGGCTTCGAAAGTAATTCTAGAACTCGAGGTTTCACAATATCTCTTTTTCCAAAAGTCCACTCCAACGCCTGTCCGCCATTGCTCATCACGTACTCTGAGCTCGTAGTGGGCGTTTCGTGTCCCAGCAATGACGGCATCCACTGTTGCTCCACGATCTTTAGAAAAAAGGCCCATTGCTCATGGTTCCGCAGACCACCAACGTATTGGTAAAGCAGAACTCCGGAGGGTTTTCGAGCTACCCAATCAACAACACGCTTTCGGAATATCCAGGCATCGCTTTTTCCGGCATGTTTTTTACTGCCTCTGAATTGAAAATGGTTATTGAGAAAAGGTCAAATGAATAATTAGACCGAAACCACCCTTCACATTTTCCCTCGCTCGCCAGTGAAGTTACGTCACACTATGTTTAAACTGCAAGTCGATCAGGCAGTCTAAAGTATAGAGTAGTTGTGGCGTTTCTTTTTCCCTTTCGTTTTGTTTTGCTTGCGTTAGTTTACCCAAAATCCAATTCGCACAATTGAAATTCGTACAATCCGCCTTAAACGCACTGTAATATTCATGTTAAACATTTAACGTCAGGTTTTTAGTTTGTCAAGCAGAGCATATTAGTCTCTCAGAACAAATTTAAAACACAAACAACTGCGCGAAGAAAAAAAAGAATTATTGTTACTTTCAATTTTGGTTACTAGTTCTGATGTGTACTTTAATGTGTTGAACCAAATTTGAGGTAGGTCAGTTTCCACCAAACTTTCGCCACAGAGCCTTGCGTGTTTAGGCATAATCTAGGTACTTCATCGCGAAATAGGCTACTTGGTTTATGGCGTTTATAATCTAAAACCACGGGCAGCGTCACACTTACCTGCTAGGACAGCAGCCAGCATCAGTGCTACAACGAAACATACGTCCTCTGGCATTCTGCCTGATCGCAACCTTCCAGTGCGCGTTGCTTTTGGCAATCTCCCGGACCTTTATAGTCGTCCCGAGTCACACTCGTAATCAACGCGGTCTTCTAGAATTTAGAACAAGACAACGGTATGACATTTCGGAAGTGTTCAGAAAAAAAAAAATGCATTTACTCCTTGAACTTTTTCTCCATTGTCACGCGATGCCTCATGTCACTCTTGAAAGGTTAATTTACGAAAGCCAATTAATCATGTCGCGTACGTCATGTACTTGCCTAAAGCCCGTCCCGACAACATGTTTGGTCACCTGGACTTAAACGTCTTCTAAATTGATAAGTCCACGCAATACCACAACTGAAAAGCTTGGCTCCAAAAGTCAACGGTAGAGATTTTGCAGTTGAAGGTTCCGTACCGAGAGGACGAATTAACTTAAGAAAATCTTCAACTTGACAGGGGTGAAGAGAAAAACTGTCGTAGAGGCAGAACCTTTAAACTTGACGCATAAAAATCCAGCGACAAGCCCAAGGCGTTTCGTACAGACGCTTCGTACAGACAAAGAAATAATAAATTAAAGATTTATTATTTTTTTATTTGTTGACCGCTGCGATCTACAAATCACAGTGGTCAACACAGTCAGAACGTCCGGACATCAGTATAAATTCGGACAGCCTTGTCTCAAGCCGGGAGGTACACATTAAGCGCACTTGAGCTAACTATTTTGCCGACTTTTTGACCTTTCCGTTTTTACCGCTGCTTAATTCGTCTTCCGCTGTCCGTTTTTTTCCCACTTATATCTGAGTGACGTTAGTTCCTGATTGATGACCATTTCAGGAAGACAAAACGTCGTCAGCAGCAGAGATAATCATCGTCTTTAGGTGACAATACTGCAGTAAAATAGGTATTAACTATGCTGGTTGCCATGTTCATTCCAAATTTGCATTCAAGTTAATCGGAAAAATCAGTCGGGCATTATCACACTTTTTATTTTTAAAGCGAGTTCTTTTAATTGCCACAAATGCTGTTGTGCCCTTATGACGTTCACAAAGAGTGCCGAAAGTGGGTGACTATTGAAACTGTTGAAACCATAACATCTACAGGTGTTCATCTGGGTGTTGTGTTTGTGTGTTACAACTCTAATTTCAGAGGGGCGCCCTGTCCGGCGTGAAGAAGGGGGCCTGATGGTCTGATGTATTAATAGAATATTAGAATTTATTTCATTTTATTTCACGAACGTTAAGCTTTTGATATTGCGTAGTATGAGGGAAAGCAACAAGACAAGATAACTGCTCCGAATTTGAAAGAATTTGCAAAATACGAAAAATACAAGATATATAAAAAGCGAACGTTTTTTATTAAGATACTCCGAAGCATGTTAATATGACAGGCGCAAGGCTGGCGATGCAAAGCCCGAGTGATAAGATTATCATCCACGTTTCGAATAGTCAGCAGTTTACTTCTTTCCATTTGGGCGAACCCTCCTCTCCCATCCCATAAGCTTTGTGCCGCCATTATTTACCAGACAACCGCAGGCGCCCAGGCGTGCCATGCCGTGCGTTGGAATGAACATGCACTCGTGCTCTTGGTGTACGACTGTGACGGCTCTGTATTCCGCCGCAGAAAATATCCCGCCGTTTGTGCATCATTTTTATAGACGAGCGAGAACGTTTTGGGGGAGTAAATAGATTTTCAGAGTAGAAATTAGGGAGACATTCCCATATATAAATATGACAACTGAAGCCTATGCCTATCTCTTTTACATGCCTATCTCTTTTACTTCAACTTGCAGCAAAAATACTTGAGCACAATTAAACTTTCGTTGAACAAAGTTATATTAATTCCATACTAGCACGGCTTCAGACGACAATTATCGACTATGACCCGACTAACTGGGCTTTCGTGACCTTTCCTTTGTAAATAATAAAAGGAACCAGATGGATGCCAGACTTTTCCAAAGCATTCAACAGGGTATCCTACATAAAGTTATTATATAGACTTGAAACAATTTTGGCAGGACCTAAATTCATGACTGGTTAGCAAACTATGTTACAGATCGGTATCTGTATGTTACAATGAACGCTATTCATCATGAAAAAAAAAGTTTCATCGGGCGTCATATAGGGATCAATGCTGGCACCTGATTTGTTTTTGATCTACGAGTGTCTCCCCTCAAAAATACATAGGAATTATTTTTTCATCGCAAAAAAAAGCTAAGACTTTCCGAACACTCATACTCCGCCCATAGATAGCGCTAGAGGTACAAACCAGATGCCAGAGTTTCAGCCCGAACCGATATCTTATTCAAAAGGGAGCGCATGTTCATCTGCTCCTTTCGCAGGGCTTGGAGGGTGACGTCGGAATGCCGAGCTCTGATTGGAGGAGAGTGGCTAGACCTCAGTGCGGCTTGCTTTAAGGTCTACCCACTATCCTTCAATGAGAGCCAATCAGAGCTCGTCACCATAACACCTGTAAAAGAAGCAGACAAACTTGCGCTCCCTATAAACGATTTTCTAATAATATCATATAGGAAAATGGAGGCCGACGCTGCTCTCGAATACATGAAGTTCTATGACGCCAGAAATCGAAAACAGGTGAATATGGGCCCCATCTTCCTATTTAAATTTTTGGGAAGTCCCGTATAACTTTAAAAATAAGATATTGGTTTGGGCTGAAGCTTTCCCCCCTGGTTCTTACCTCTAGCACTACCTAGGCGGAGAACGGGCGTACGGCGATGCATAGTTCATTTTATAGCGCATCTCTTAGGCGCCCGTTTCCGACTTGAGCGGCGTCGGCGTAACCGCGTGGTGCGTTATGGTTAAATTTCCCCGCTAAATTTAGCGGAAAATTCCCCCGCTAAATTTAGCCCCGCTAAATTTAACGAACAAATTTCCCCGCTAACTTTAGCGGGAAATTTTTCCCTAAATGAAAGGCGAGCAGGAGAGGAGGAGGGCATAGCCGTACCTTCCCCTCCTCCTCAATAGCTGCGCTCTAATTTGGCGTTACAGGGGTTTGTAAACGTCTTTCGTTTTTAAGATAAAAAAAAAAACTTCACTTCTCTAGCGTTACCCTGTATAAAAATGGCGGTTTAAGACGTTAAGGTCACGGTCTCACATACTGTTCCAATTTAGGTGCTGGTCAGGAGGATCATTTTTTTTTTCCTCTTCTGGTGTCCAAAGAATAAGACGAGACCATGGGAGTACCAACCGGGGGCAAAAGGGGGGCGCTTGTCCCCCCCCCAGTTCTCAGAGTGTGTGTGTGTGTGTGGGGAAGCATGTGTTTTGCCGCCCCCCCCCCCCCCCCCTCCCCTGAAAGAGCCGCCACTGGGCAGGGCAAACAGTGGCCGGCGGCGCCCGAGGGATACCAAGGGCTCCGGCCCGGGGAGGGAAAGGGAAGGTCTGGTTTGCTCCCCCCACCCCAACCCAAAAACAAGTTGGTACGCACCTGGACGAGACAAAGAAAGGGTAAAAGCACAGGCGAGCTGGTGGAGAACTTCCATCGTAAACCGCAGACACGGAGAATAAGAAAAAAAAAAAAACGGACGAAACAACAAGTCTTAAACACAGCTTACGACCCTCATCTCCAAACCCGGAACACCCCATCTCCACTCGGTCAATAACATCTCATACTGAACCAATGACACGTGCTACCTCCCTCCCAACGTTAGCAGTGTTTGTGTTGTGATGCCTGTTACCGGCTGTGACTGTTCGTCTCTGAATGGAGGTCGTCGGGGTCACTTTTTTGGTTTGGTGTAAAAGAAAAAGAAATAGCATGTGTCATTCGGTTTTTTGTTTGTGTTTGTGGGTGTGGGGGAGGGGGGGGGGGGATTCCCAACGTTAGCAGGGGTGTGTTTGAGATGCCTGTAATCATGGATGGCTGGTCTTATCTGAATTGAGGTTGTCAGGGTCAGTTTTTGGTTGATGTGACAGAAAGGGAGGTAGCACGTGTCATTAATTCAGGGGTGGACGGAGGGGGCAAGCAACTTTTGCCCAAGATTTGAGCGACGGGCTTATCTTCTAGGATGAGAATGACGGTGTCGGGGTACACAATACGAGGGTCCGAGAAAGCTGGGTGTCCCTTCTTTCCGTCTTCTTGAACTGTATGGTACAATGCGCTATTTGAGAGTTGAGGAGGAAAACTAACAAGAAAAAAGCTTAAAAATCGTTTCATGACCCCTTTAAAGGAACACTGACACCCAGAAAAAATGTTTTGAATTTTTTTCCTAGGCGATTTAATATGGTGTCAAGAGACTACCCAATCAATACTGCCACGCGCGCAGTAGGCAGCGCGGCCGTGGCCCAACGGTTATCGTGCCTGCCTCCCACACGAAGTGCCCGGGTTCCATTCCTGGGAGCGACGCGTCTTTTGTTTGTCCTTGCAATTTAGTGCTCTAGCAAATTCGAGAATCCTGTTGCTTGTTTGAGGTGCGAATGTTCTCGTCGCCGAACCCTCTAGGCCGACTGTTCCAGAAACCAACGCGAATACATAAGGGGCTCCGCATGGCGACCGTTAGTCAGTCTTGCCCCAGCGTTCGACTCTGCAGTCACGCCGACTTCAACGCCCGCGACGCTCTGCTTTCTTCTCTTCCCTTTTTTTATTTTTGGGCACAAGTCCGCCCCATTAAACGTTTAGTTTCTTCAGTTATTATCGCCTCATCACTTCTCATTCGTGACATTTTGGTGGAGGTGCGGGGTAGCGCATGTCGCTGCAGCGTGCCCCTCCGAGGGCCCTCAGTGCGAGTCCGAGTCCAAGCCCGGTGAGAAAGCCACTCAAAGCGGAACCTGAAACTCGGACCAGTCGCCGCACCCAAGGTCTACGACCGGAATACAGACTTCTGCCACCCAGGACCAAGCAGCCAATGCGGCCGACGATAGACGACCAGCAATCGCAGACCCCGACCGCTGTCGCCGTCATATACCTGTCCGTTGCCCAGCGAACCCCGACGACCTTCCATGGCGAGACCCACGAAGACATGGAGGACTGGCTTCTGCACTACGAACGTGTAGCGCACCATAATG